GTGTTTGACTTGTATAAAAGTGTATAATAAAACATGCCTTTCTTGTTTAGGATCCTATTTGTCTGGTATAAGAGTGTTATAATAAAACATGCCTTTCTTGTTTAGGGTCCTATTTGTCTGGTATAAAAGTGTATAATAAAACATGCCTTTCTTGTTTAGGGTCCTATTTGTCTGGTATAAGAGTATTATAATAAAACATGCCTTTCTTGTTTAGGATCCTATTTGTCTGGTATAAGAGTATTATAATAAAACATGCCTTTCTTGTTTAGGATCCTATTTGTCTGGTATAAGAGTAATGCGTTTGTTTGATATATAAATGTCAGTATATGATAGAAAATATCTTTCTGTTTAGGGTCCTGAATTTGACTGGTCGCCAGCAACAATTGGCGTAGTTGACTCTTCATTTTTTTGGGGGTATCTGGTAACTCAAGTTCCTGGAGGCTTTTTGGCAGCAAAATACCCAGCTAACAGGTGAGATCCTAAAAATCGAACTAAATTTTTTTGGTCTTTTCTTTCACAAGAACCCAGTTTCTGTTATTTTTTCAAGAATTTAAATGAAATTTTGAATGGTTACACAGGCCTGCCATGGTTTTAATGTATTGAAATTTTTACATGTTCTACAGTAATTCCTGTACGTTGAATCCGAAAATGATATCCATTTTTCTCTATCACGTACAGATTTTTCACAAAACGTCATAACGCAATACATAAAAGAAAGACCACAACACGTAAAGACTAAAACAAGACTAAAAGACGTAGATTTCACACAAAACAATTAGGATGAATGAAGATGCATATTCGTTTGACATCAATGTTTTTTTCATTTTCTTCAGATTGTTTGTATTTTTGTTAAAAAACATAATAATAAAAAATGTGACTGAAAAAATGAATATTATTTTCGAAACCTACATAGCTAAATTATGGAAAAACCCATTATTAAAACCAAAACAACTTTTATGAAGTTTAAATTCGCATGCCTGTGTTATTTTTGATCTCCAGAAACATCTCATCGAAATTTGAATTGTTAAGCTGTTTCCTTCCAATTTTATTATTAAGGTTTTGGGAACAAAAACATTATTTTTTTTCTTTTAAGCGATCTTGAAACTAAAGATACGAACTTTGTGTTTACTTCTTTACTTTACAGGGTATTCGGCACTGCTATTGGTGTTTACTTCTTTACTTTGCATTGTATTCGGCACTGCTATTGGTGTTTACTTCTTTACTTTACATTGTATTCGGCACTGCTATTGGTGTTTACTTCTTTACTTTACATTGTATTCGGCACTGCTATTGGTGTTTACTTCTTTACTTTACAGGATATTCGGCACTGCTATTGGTGTGTCTGCTCTACTGAACCTGCTAGTGCCAGCGGCTTGTACGGTCCATCCAGGATTAACTATTTTTGTCCGAATTCTACAGGGGTTAGCTGAGGTAAATATTAAATATTTTTACCAAGAAATGCAGAGAAAAATATGTAAAAGGTCAAAATTCAGTTCATTTAAATACTACTCCGTATGCTAAACTCAGTGCATTTATATATTTCTATGTCATAAAACAGTAATTCGAATATACAGTTAAAACCTATTACTCTCAAAAACGACGTACCTAAAGCTTTAGTGTGATGTAAACAATATATTTAAGTTAAACCTGTTTAGTTTCTAAACCGGATGAAATGACGCTATAAATGTGGATGGGCATGCATTGTTATAATTATTCGTCTGTTTACTTATTGCAAAGCCACATTAGGCTATCTGTTGTGTCTATCGAGGGGAATTAAACCCCTGATTTTAGCATTGTAAATCCGAAGACTTACTGATGTCCCACCGGGGAACCATAATTATTCATCTTTCCAATTTTAATGTAGTTATGAACTTTTTATTTCAGTCAGTGATATTGAGTTTATTCCCCATGTTGTATTATAATTCTAGGCAGCGTAGATATCGTACGGTTGGAATTTCCTATGCACTAGATAAATTGTGGGTTTTACACCCCAGGTTCATATTTGCCCGAGTTTTATCTTTGTAAGTGAAGTTTTGTATAACTGAACTCCCACAAAATAAAAAGTCGGAGGATTCAAAACGCACTATTTTGATAAAAAGTTGCGATAAAATATTAAAAATAAAACCAAGTAAGAAATGTTTTGCTAGTTTGTTTATTTGTTGTTGTTTTTATTGTAAATTATTTAAACAACAACCCGATTGTAGAGCTGAAATTTCATGTGGATGTCTCTTGTTTGGATTTTTGAGTTCTTTATTTGTTTCAGACTTTTTTTCGCAAAGCTTCTCAAAGAACGATCTTCGACTAATCTTTCCTACTTGTGAACTAAGAGACTAGAGGGAAAATAATTAGTCAACAACACCCATCGCCAACTCTTGGGTTACTTTTATCTTTCCCAGTAGTGGGATTTGACTGTCACTCTTATAGTGCGCTAACTCTCGGTTAAAAGGATTGGTTTTGTTTGTTTTGAATTTCGCGCAAAGCTGCACGAGGGCTATCTGCGTTAGCCGTCCCTAATTTAACAATAGAAGACTAGAGGGAAGGCAGCTAGTCATCACCACCCACCGCCAACTCTTGGGCTACTCTTTTACCAACGAATAATGGGATTGACCGTCACATTATAACGCCCACACTGCTGAAATGGCGAGCATGTTTGGTGGGACGGGGATTCGAACCCGCGACCGTCAAATCGCGAGTCAAGCGCCCTAACCACCTGGCCTTGCCGGGCCCCGGTTAAAAGGGAAAGTATACATGCAAAAAAACGTAGCTTTATCTGAATAGGTTAAGACATAAAAAATTGAATATACGTTACTGTATCATATATTTTGTGAAATATTTGTTATTAGATAAACTGCAAAAATAACTGGATTATTATCTCCTATCTATAACAGGGAGTTACTTACCCAGCGTGCCACGGGATATGGCGTCATTGGGCACCACCACTTGAAAGAAGCCGTTTGGCTACGATATCTTTTTGTGGTTAGTATTTGCTTGTTTGTTTGTTGTCAGAAGTTAAAATATAATTCTTCTTCGTCAGTTGTCAAAATAAAAAGGCTTTTACTTATACTTCTTAATAGTATAAATATATGTATATATTGTGTTGTTGTTGGGCTTAGGATTCTTCTACAGTAGGTGGCTGTGACTTGTTAGCGATAACTTCAACAATAAATGAACAGCATGCACTTCACTTGATTTCTAAATGATATAGATATTCGGAACAAGTTAAACGTATGTACAACAAATTCTTCACAATATAGATATTTTCGACATATCATAAACACTATATATATAGTTCTCTTATTCTTGTCAAATATTCACTTAGGCCTATTCAATTGCTTTAGAATTTCAGTTGACAAGCCGAACTATCTTCTCTATTATTATCGCACAAGTATTCTGTGTGCGATTCACTACTTGTGACATCAGATCTGGTTTACAATGGTCATCTTACTCATGACCAAATGTCGGAGGTATATCAGGACATCCCTCTGTACAACTGTCTGATATTTTGCTCTAGGAACATGCTGCTCAAGCGTATCCTGACATATTCAATAAGGTTCTCAAGATCTGGCGGGAGACATTTTATCAAACCTTTATCATTCGGACGTTTGTAGATACCCTGACTTTGCTGACACCTTGAGGAGCACTGTCTTGTAAACATTTATTGCCTTTTCCTTTACTCTCGCAAAATATACATTTTATTTAGTCTGTTAAAGCTCTATGGGGCTTTCTTTGCAGGAAAAGGCTGTCTGACTGTAATAAATTATTCCATCCTAGATGATACTCTACTGACTATATTTTGAAGAAATGGCACTTACCATTTATCAATAGACCAAGGCCACTTTTCACAACAAACTCCAATACCACAGTACATAACATTCGTAAATTCGCACAAAATAATAAAAAAGTAAGATCACAGTATAAGGGGCTTCCAAATCAAAACCATTTTTGGCTTGCTGCATCCGAATAGCAATCAAACTTTTAAGTTTTGGTCTGAATAGATTCTCGAGCAGCTTTCCCTTAATATGTAGTATAGCCTCTTTTCCATTAGGAAACACAGCTAATATTACTAAAAGTAACATGTGTGGCCTGTTACAGGTACTTTTTTTAGGCATTACTAAATTATTTACGGCTCTTTTTTTTCCTCCTTAGAAATACTTTGAAACGGTGGGCCTTCAAACTCAAATTCCCACCCTCTCTCTCTTCTCAATTTCTAAGATGTATTATGAGACCAGTCATGAATGTAAATATTAGATTAAAATCACATTCAGAAAATTTATGGCATCACTACTATCTCAAAAGAAAAAACAAACGGCATTTAGGCCTAATTTAATGGTAGCTCTACCACGCTTAATCCTACTGTCTTTTCTTGGCATTCAGCAAAAATGTTATGAACACCGTATCCGCTTTCAAGAGTACGTGTTAAAAAAAAAAGTTGATAGGTTGGGTTATCAGACTAATGAGGCTTAACAATAAAATAACATTTAAATTGGTTGACTATGGTGGCCATTTTGAGTGTTCAAACTCTTCCTCGTGTTCTTTGAATTATCTTTAACAATCTAAGCAGCATGAATTGGTGCATTGCCTACTTGAAATAACCCAGCTCCGTTTGACAATAAAGTGTTAATCACAGAGTAAACCTGGTCTGCAATAAGGTTTATATAATCATTAGCTCTCATCTTACCTTTCAGTGAGATCATAGATCCTAAACTATTCCAACAAAAGGCTGTCCGTATCATCACCGAGTGCCCACTCAGGCTTACCTGATGACACAAGACATTCAAGATTGCAAGTTACCTTGGTTTTCACCACACATAAACATGTCCATCTGATGGGAAAGTGCAAAATATGATTCATATGATCATACCACATTATTCTATTATTCTTTGGTCCAATGTTTGTCTTGACACCATTTTAATCGAATTTACATTTCTTGTTGTCATAAGAAGTTCTAAAAAGCAGACCTACCATGGTATCATCTTGTACAGCTCCTCTTGAGTTGTTCTGACAGAGATTAGTTGTTATATGCCAACACTTGTGACACTCTAGTCTATTCTTAACGTCACACTGTACTCGTGTTAATGTTCGTCTGTCACGATCCGTCAATTTAGTTGTTGGACCACTGTTACGTTTGTCTGATGTTGTTCTATTTTCCCATATTTAATACCACTCTTGACACTGTTCTACATGATTTTAGGAGTTTATGTCATTGAGGATCCAACTAGATTTGCACCTACAATCATCCCACTTTGGAAATCTGACAAACGTTTTTAGTTTGACATATTTAGAACCTTTATCTGAAAAACCAATAATGTACTACTTGTATACAGATAAATTGAACGATATAGAATGATTGAATGCACAGTTAAAGTACCATAAGGCTACACTTTCTCCTCTTAGAGACAACACAACTTCGAGCTAAAAATGTGAAAAGGTTCCATTATTTTGTACAACCGTAGCACTCTTCACGTGCTTTTAACCCTAGAATTACCAATGTGCCTTATCGGCTTTTTTTAACACACATTTTAAACTACGTATGTACCAAATATCTTAGGGATTTATGACTTTATTGGTTACGTATGAGTCTGAACCAAAATTATCATAATTTTAGCAAATGATCCCACTAATTATCGTTAGGTTCTCAGGATTTCATTGGCCAGTTCTTTACTCACTGACTGTTGTAATAGGTAAAAAGAAATACTCAATATGATGCAATAAGCGGATCCCACTAGTATTGAAGAGTATGAAAGCAAGTCGGTAGTTTGAGGGTTATGGCAATTTAGCATCATTGTACTTTATACTCATACAAAATAACACATTAGTAAGAAACGAAAGTAGTTAGGCTTAAATACAAAAAATAACTTGACAAATACTTCGAAGTTCAGATTCTGATGAACGATGCTACTATGTTTCTGCATTCAATTTGTCACGTGTTACACACGATTCACACTGGAAACATGTGAAACACATGTCCTGATATAAAATACATTTGACCATTAAGCATAAAATAGTTAGAACTATTTCAGTAAGTAAAATAGAACGATTTCTGATACAATTAGATAATAGACTTCAAATGTAAGCTCTAACGAAAATTCTCTCTATCTATAAGGATCATGTCTTAATCATCCAGCACAATAAACCTAGAATCAATTATCACTTTACATCACTGCTATCCTACAAAGTACTTTCATTTCAATGACGTCAGTCTCCAACAGCTGCAACCACATAAAATCGAACTAGTGAAGTTGGTATAATGGTGCCAAGCTTAAACCAGCTACGCCATAATTTAGTTAGGCTAAATTATCAAACGTTTTTACTATTTTCTTAAAGAATAACGTATACGCATGTATGAGGGTTCAAACAAGATATTGGAATTCAATATTTTACAACTGGTATTGATTAACTGTAACTGTTTTAACAATCTCTGTAGTTCTTGCTTCCTATAGGCCTCAGCTGAACCTACAAATAAATTCTGCCACGAGAACCCCATTGCGCATGTGCTAGCAAAATTATTCTCGGTAACTTTACGCGGATAAAACAAATATTTGTGTTTGATATAATCTCATATCGATGATCTGAATAGAAATATATTTTCATATTTTTTTTGGCTCTAAAGAATAAGTTGTGATAATCTTGATTCGGAAATTCACAAATAATTGTTTCCCCCATGTGTCTACAGCATTTGAGGTGATAAGTTTAGCCTAAGATACCCAAATTATTAGACTTTGAAGAGAATTCCAGGTTTATTCGTCAGACAACGTTTATCGTATTTCCAAAGTTTCCATATCAAAAGTATGAGCAGAACACCTGCACAAAAATTGAGAAAAAATAAAAAAATACCTGAATTTATTTGACGGAAGATACATTGTAACTTGGTAATAAGAGGCTAACATTTTAGCTAACATCTTTCCACAGTCTGAAGTACAGAAGCATTCATTGACACGTTGATCCATGTAATTCAATTTTGCTTAGCACCAAACTTTTTCGTTTGTTTGTTTTTAAGCACAAACTAAATAAAGGGCTGTCAGTGCTGTGCCCATCACTGGTATTGAAACCCGGTTTTTAGCATTATAAGCCTTCAGACCGCTGAGTCATGCACACACACCACACTAATAAGTCAGAAGCAGCATCGTGTCAGGTAGTGTTGATTTTTGAGGGTTATCTAACAGAAATGTAGATTACGATTCAATATAAAAATCCGAAAGAGTGCATAAGGAGAAAAAATAGATAAAACTCGAAGCCTTTAGTGACCCGATTCTTGAACCTAATCATGCAACAATTATGTCTGAGCAATATTCTCAATGAATAATGACGATTTTGCGTGCCTCGCAACATAGAAGCTCATATGGAATCAACTCAGTGACGGTTTCGGTACGTTACATTAAGAGCGACAGCAGAATCAAAAACCAGTTGATTGAAATACAACGATGAAAGAAGAAACTACGGAAACTACGATTAATCTCTTTTAATGAACTATATTTAAAATGTGCAAACAGTTTGCGACATCTTGAATGTCCACTTTCAATTTCAGATTAGTGTTTCTAGCATGAAAACCTAATCTGTTCAGATTTCTTGCTACCGTTCTCTTGAAAAATAACCTCACGAAAATAATGACACTGAAGCTCAAGTAATTAGCAGTTCTAGATTCTTTCAAAATATGTTTAACACAAAAGTTTCACACATTGAATCAATACACCTTGTAGCCTTATAATAATAAAGTATCTACGTTTATCATTCACCCTCCAGTGGCATGTCTGCGAACTTACAACGCTAGAATCCGGGTTTCGATACCCGTGGTGGGCAGAGCACAGATAGCCCAGTGTGTAGCTTTGTGCTTAATTATAAACAAACGTTTATCATTACTTGTAGATACGTGTTTCTTATAATATTACGTTCTTCTTTCCAACGGTTGGGTTGTAGGACAACTGCCCCCCCCCACAACCATCTTTTCTTAACCCTCTCGCCCCGGCTATCCTTTACTGAGCATGTCACGAGGTTTTAGTGACTCATATTCAAATTTTAATTAAAGTACTTCTTGTTTATGTTATACCAATTAGTATACCATAGAATCGTTCAACATTTTTATTTTATAACAATAAATAAAATTTAACACAAAACTTGTGTTATTTTGTCCTACTTAAACATGTACTCACGTTATATAACTGTGCATAGTTCAACATTTATATTTTATTACAATAAACAAAATATAACATGAAACCTGTGTTATTTTGTCCTACTTAAACAGTTTTAGATAATTCATTCTTCTATGAAATACAAGAAAAATGTCTGTTTTTCCCTGTCTTAGTCAGTTATATTAATACAATAAGATATAACTGTAGGGGGCAGTTGTCAGCTTACCCTTTCCAAGCTAGCTTTGCTGACGTATCGTTAACTTTACACTAGGCCGGCTTATAATGGCTTTAATTCAATTAGTTGAAATGTTTTGTAGTTTTTGCATGATATCTACAAATGGCTTGTCCGTTTAGACAAATTTATTTGTGTGTCTTCAAGTCTTAAAAATGTTTTTGAAGTAATAATAAAATAGGCGTTTTTTTTCAAAAAATTGCGCAAAATTTCGCACAAATCAGCAGTTTTTAAAAGATAAGGAAAAGCGTGAATAACTTTTACAGTAATGCTCTGTTCTTCTGTAATTCGTCCTCATAAGTTTGACCTTTATAGTATACTCTTAATGTGAAGCTTTCTTTAATATGTTATTGATAGCTTACTTAACTACATCTTAAAGTTAAAGGCGAGAAACACGGTAGGAAGTGAATAAATCATTATCGTCTTTTTCATCAAACATCGATGTTTTAAATGTTTTTATAGCGTTAATCCTGAAATTTTTCGAATTAGTTTGATCGCGAGACATGAAAGTAAAGAAGTACTTGCAGCAATGAAAATGAAAGATTATATTATAATTGAAGAAACTGGAGATTTGTAGCGGTTTCAGTAAAAGTTTTCATCATAATTAGGAAACAACATTTTTCGTTTCTGTTTGTTTGTTTGAAATTAAGCACAAAGCTACACGATGGGCTGTCTGTGCTCTGCCCACCACGGGTATCGAAAGCCGGTTTCTAGCGTTGTAAGTCCGCAAAGCTGTGTCACTGGGGGCTTTCTTTTCTCAAAAAAAAAGCTTGCTTTCTGTTAATTGTATGATAACTGATGTGTGGAAACTTATGATCCTGTTTTTGAAATTTTGAATCAAAATATGATCCATATGACAAGGTAGTAACCCAAAACTGTTTGTTTTTTAGTAAACACAAGACTGCGCTGTGCTCACCATAGGAATCAAACCTGAATTTTAGCGTTATTAGCTCTCATACTTATTGCTGGCATGTTTTACAAACATCTTAAAATAGTATATGTTATTATGCTATTAAACGTTTGTTAATATTATATAGTTTCAATCCTTTATTTGCAACACAATTTCTCAAACGTCAAGATACACCTAATGTAATTCTGTGGAATTCTGAGGGTTTATAACGGTTTTTATAACGTATACCCCAGGATTAAAAGTTTGATCAATTATTGTACATCTATAAGCATTGGGTGAAAAGCAGTGTAAGCTGTGAAAGTGCTTCCAACCAACTAAAGATATTAAAAAATACAGCTTTTTTATTATTAAGCTACAATGTATTTTCTAAACAGAATATTTTCTCATAAGCCTAAATTATTAGATAATTCCACGTGTATTTGCGTGCACTCAATGCTCTCTTATTTAAACCAGGTTCCTATGCCGGAGCTGTAATAGGGATGCCCTTATCTGGAATGCTGACTGATCGTATCGGCTGGCAGACTTGCTTCTACTTTTACGGTTAGTACACAAGGTGTTTTAATATCGTAATGTCTTTGTCCAATAAACTGTGTTACCGCGTTTCTTTTGAAGATCAAGTCGGTATTTATACAAGTTTAAAGGTTTATGAAGAGCTTATTAAAGGTTATTAAAGATCAAGTCGTATTTATACAAGTTTAAAGGTTTATGAAGTGCTTATTAAAGGTTTCTTTGAAGATCAAGTCGGTTTTTATACAAGTTTAAAGGTTTATGAAGAGCTAATTAAAGGTTTCTTTTGAAGATCAAGTCGGTTTTTATACAAGTTTAAAGGTTTATGAAGAGCTTATTAAAGGTTTCTTTTGAAGATCAAGTCGGTTTTTATACAAGTTTAAAGGTTTATGAAGAGCTTATTAAATGTTTCTTTTGAAGATCAAGTCGGTTTTTATACAAGTTTAAAGGTTTATGAAGAGCTTTTTAAAGGTTATTAAAGATCAAGTCGGTATTTATACAAGTTTAAAGGTTTATTAGAGCTTATTAAAGGTTTCTTTTGAAGATCAAGTCGGTTTTTATACAAGTTTAAAGGTTTATGAAGAGCTTATTAAAGGTTATTAAAGATCAAGTCGGTATTTATACAAGTTTAAAGGTTTATTAGAGCTTATTAAAGGTTTCTTTTGAAGATCAAGTCGGTTTTTATACAAGTTTAAAGGTTTATGAAGATCTTATTAAAGGTTTCGTTGACCGTTGTGATGAAAAATTCGCCTTAAGTTATAAATTGAATTATATACAAAATACGATTAGTAACTACTAGCTACTTGTTCGTATTTATTTTTATATTTTTGAACTTATTGGAAAGTGCCTGAAAACATAAAAATAAAAGCGTTTCGGTGTTGTTTTAGAATGCATTATGGTTAAAATATGCTCAGCATGTGCTCGTTTTTGTGTGTGTACGTGTTTGATGTTGAACTTAATCACGTGTTATTGAACAGTTTGGACACGTGTGAGTTTTCATTGCATGTTGATGAACCTTCACAACATAATATTTCATTCAGAAATCAAAATCAAGTGACTGAATTCAAGATCAAATGAAAAGCATGTACTTTCTAATGGGTCCCCGAAAGTGTTCTGTTTCAAGAGTAAATAAAATCAAAATTAATAGTAACAAATATTTTTATTTCTTACCTTTGGGGTTCATATGCCATGCTGTGTTGTGGCCTACAGAGTGCTTAATTCTTCTCGTGATTCATGGCATACGCAGGTTTTATTGACGTTACGACAGTACAAATTGTAACGTTAAGTGACGTCATTTTAGTGTCTACTAACTGACAGACAGACAACACACTACTCTATAGAGGTCGAGAGGTTAAAACAGGTGACCCCTCCAGGTGGCCTTCGGCCATCTTCCCAGGAAATTAATAAGGAATACACGATCTGCAATTCAAAAAAAAGAAAGTTTGTGTAAATTTGATCAACTTTTCGGCCTCCAGCCTTTTTCGGGAACTTGTGTTGTCTTCTCATTATTGATATACATTTTAATTTTATTTGTATCTCTGATTATGTGTGCTACAAGTTCCAGAAGAAGGTTAAACTTTGGTTTAGTTTGAATTTCGCGCAAAACTATAGGAGAGACATCTGCGATAGCCGTCCCTAACTTAGCAGTGACAGACTAGAGGAAAGGCAGCTATTCAACACCCCCAACTCTTGGACTACTCTTTTACCAACGAATAGTGGAATTGACCGTTACACTATAACGCCCCCACGACTGAAAGGGCGAGCATATTCGGTGACGGAGATTCGAATCCGCGACCTTTAAACTATGAGTTAAAAGTCCTAACCACTAAGCCTTGTCAGGCCGCGAAGGTTAGAGACCAAAACGTTGAGCATAAAACAATTTTTTCTGGAGTTATAGGTAAAGGGCCTTCTTGTTATATCATAAGTTTCATACCCTACTCAACACTTGGTACTTTAAGGAACGGAACATATAACGAACTACGGTTTGCCTTAAATTGAGAGAATATATATATCTGAATATATGCTGTGATGAAACAAAATATAAACACAAACCAAAATACCAAATATCGTTTCACCATATCTGCCGTATGCTTGTGACCATTATATTACTAGAAGACAATTCCCAGCAAAAGGAGTCGTGCTCCTCAGGGAATGGCATAATAGATCCGATTTGAAAGTACGTGTCTGCAGACAGGGTGCCATCAATTCTGTGAAGATCACCGATACAGTTTGTAGACATGCAGTCCCATGCTTCACTGTAAATATACTTTGACTATAATACCATTCTCTTCTCAGCCGTGCGCAAACTATCGTTGACTGTTGCTGAATTATTCGAGTTTGGATACCTCTGTAAAAAGTAAACGTTTTCAGGTTTATTCCTCATTCCACTGGTTGCAGTCCAACGCTCAACTTTGTGGTTTGATTACCTTTTTCTTATCAGTTGTTTTACAACAGTTACACGTCAATTGAGGCTAATGTGTACCTTGCTTTTCTCGAGGTAGTATTCACACTTGTACTTACATCAAGATATTTGATATAATCTGTACCCGACCGCATCTTTCTCGTATAGCTTTAGATACTTCACTTTTGGAGAGTTTGGGTTTTCTACCTCAACCAGTTTTATTATTATTAACAGCGACAGATCCACGTACCCTCTTCAGAGTCTTGCGTACAGCTCCTAATCAGACAAGACAAAATTTTGATTTCTACATAGTTTCCATGTGGTAATTCAGTCCTTGGAACCATGACTGGATTCATAAAACCATTATAGACATAGTACGACTTCCTGTACTTTATAGGCTTTATGATGGTGTGACGCTTTCTGAATGTTTAATGACAGCCAATCACAATTTATATTATCAACCCGTGACTGTACCCAAGAAGAGTTATTTTGACACAACAAAAGTTTAGCGTTCTCCTATATTTGTTTTTTATAACTTTTTATAGCTGTTTCCATAATTATTTCCAATATTGTACTTCTAATGTATTTGGTCTAAATCTTTCAAATTAGACTTTTCTTTACGCGATTTTATACACTATATATTTCTACAGATTCTATATAAGGTTTGCGGTCTATATACTTCTGATGTCCTTTAGGGTTACCAGAAGGAGCTATTTGCTCAGTATGGCTCTTAATCAGGTCAACAATGAAAGAATATTTCAAATATCCATGGCTACATATCATTGGATGTCCTACTTATGAGGATACCTAAAGTCACTAGTGCTTTGTGGAACACCTACCTCATTGACTTTCTGTCGAATGGCATCTGTCAAATCTACCAACGTATCAGGCGCTCTACTAAGTACAAAATACCCTATGGTGACCATTTCTGCTGTATACAGATTCATATTCTTCATGTTGTCATAAGTATATCCACCAAGAATTGTTGTTCTATGAAGAATAGTGTACACATTTATTGACGTTCGAACACAACGATAAACTGTAGGAATCATACTGTAGTTTCTTTTTAGCCGAGGCAGAACGGCTCTGAGTTTTTTGGGTTTTTTTCAAGTAAAACATTTTAGCTCATATCTCCGTCATCTCTTGACCGATTTGAGATATAATTATAGTTTTGGACTCAGGAGGTAAAGCCTTTTCGCCTGATTTATTTGACCACGCCCAAGGTCTCGTAGATTAATTTACTCTAATCCTGCCTAAAAGAGTTTTAATTTGAGGGTAGACTGGAAGAGATCCTGAGGAGTAATAAAATTGAATCGTTATACGCGCGCCCCACGCTTGGTAATGCTAGCGCACCAAAATATAGCTAATAAATAGAAAAAAAAAGGTCTCATAGATTAATTTACTTTAATCCTGCCTAAAAGAAGTTCAAGTTCCACGTATATTGTTTTCTGCAGGAGCCTGTGGCTTGCTTTGGTACGTCTTCTGGATGTGGCTGACGTTTCAAAGTCCTGGAAAGCACCCAACCATAAGTCAACAAGAGCTAATATACCTACAGAGGTCACTAGGCAACGTATCCAACAATAGTTCGTTGCAGGTGAGGCTCGTGGTCTATTTCAATTAATGCAGTTTTTATCATTAAGATTATTGTGTTCTTCTACTATAGAAACGTTCAATAGAATATACATATCTTCCCACATTTCCCGTATCTAATAAATCGCCTATAGTTTTCCTACTTATTTTAAAGTTTTCGTGGTATTCGTAATTTTAATCTTTGAAATGATAGAAATAAACGTGGGTTTTCTCCTTTTTGAATTCAACAGGTAGCAAAAGATCATATGAAGCACCACTTTTAAGAAAGCAATAAAATACCTTTTATTTTCTTATTATATGACTTTAAAGCTAGAATATATTGTTCTTACTCCACGCATGCTCGTGATGTCGCGTGAAAACTAACTAGAATTTAACTAATGAAAACAATGAGTATTGCGCCTTCATGTCAGTTTTTCAGCTATTTTGACATGATTTAGTTAAGGTCTATCCCTTGGAAACGTATGTTGACGTCAATGCCTGTATACGCCATTATTGTGGCCAACTTTGCCCGTAGCTGGAGTTTCTACTTGCTGTTGATATCCCAACCTATGTATTTTAAAGAGGTCCTCCATTTCCACATTGACAAGGTTAGTCACGAAATTATTGTATTAATATAATATTGATAAAGTGTTTCATAACACAGACATAAGTATCATTACATTTTAACTGAGCCGTAGTGTATTTTATGAAGCAATAAATATTAGATTTCTGCTAAACTGATTCAACATTCCAGTCGCAATATGTTATTGAATGGAATCCGCACTTTTAGCTATAGGAGCGTTATAGATGTGTCAGTCATCCCGCTATTCGTTTAGGAGTATTCACACAAGTAGCTAGTACTGCTGACTGGTTGCTCTTCTCCTAACCACCAATCTTAAATTAGGAATGCTTATGCTGAACTTTAACCTTTTCAACTACTTACTACTATGTCTGTCGTGTCCCAGCGGTCCTAATGACCCCTGGTATTGATCGAAAGGCCCCATCAGCATTGGATATGAGAGATATAGTGTGGTCGATATACGTTATGTATTCTACTTTACTCTAATTCTTCAATTTATTGAATTAGTAGTCTCTGACCTGGCCGTTTAGCGTGTGTGTCGCGTAAAGTGACGTTTCAGACTGAAAATACAGCTCTACTTAATATAATATACTATTACCATACATACGAAAGAGAAAACAAAAACCACGCTTTTTTATGTAGGTTACATTTGATCCACTATGTTTCAGTTTTTGCATGGAAAGCAATAAATAAAAATTAACATTATTTGAATAAGAATACCACGTTAATTGATACCACCAGAAAACTCGGCCTTTCGGAACTTTTCAGAAAAACAATAAGGGCAAGACTTTACCAAGAGGAAATTCTAAAGTTTTTATTTGTTTATTCGTTTGAATGGGCTAAACTGTCGGGCTTAGAGATTCATGTGACCAGTCGATAGCGCCAGACTATTCTTAACTGAACAGTGATATTGACGTCCACTCTTATAACGCAGCTACAGCGGAAAGTGCGAAGTGTGTATATATGGTAGAATCACGTCTCGAACCCGAGACTTTCGGATTCCTAGTCTCATACAGCAGTGTATTATTAATTCATATTTGAACATACAGACAATTTTGATTTGTTTTGTTTCTTTTGCGAGGAAATAGGAAATAACCCTGAAACTAATGAACTTTTTGAATGTGACTCCAACTATTGCTTTCTAAAGATTTCTGGAGGCTATGAACAGTGATATGAATATAACTCACTTAAAGGCTTAATGCAGAGACAAGGAACTCTTTAGAAACAAATGATGTATCAAGAAACAACTTTATGTTATGGTAGTAACTACTCGTGCGAACAAAATATGCTATAGACTTATATTCTCACGCAACTAAGAAATATAAAGTTATTTATATATAGCATGTTATCTTAAACACTATAATCTACCGTTATTTACATTTTAATGTCTAGTAAATGTGGATTCCAGATTTTATTTTATGTTTGATTTAAACCACTGTATAAGTAATCCTGACGTTCGTGACATAATCAACACATTGTCTTAAGATAACGTATACGTAAAATAAATACTTGGACATATTAGAAATTTCAAACCTGGTTTTGTGCTCACGCTCTTAGGTAATCTTAAAATCTCGTACTGTAATTGGACACACACACACACATTTCTGAAATATTTCATACAACAAATGGATGGACAGTTCTATATCTTTGTACGATGTTTAACTTCCATTTTTGATTCTTATTACAGTCAGGGGTGCTTGGAGCTCTCCCCCATCTGCTCATGACGATTGTTGTCCCAATAGGGGGCCAACTAGCGGACATGATACGTCGAAGAAACTTAATGACAACAACAATGGTCCGGAAAGTGTTCAATTGTGGAGGTATACAAACATTTTAAGATTCTGACTTTTTTTTCATTAGATACTGTGCCCATATTTAATAGTTTTTGTGGGATAAGAGATAATGGCGTCGCCCCATATTCTGACTAATTCCTTCGTAGTAATAGACCAGATGTGGTCTAGTCGTTAGTGTGCCAGTGCTGTGAATTAGAGGATTCATGGTTCGTGACCTTTAGCCACAAAAATATGCCTCGCACTTTTGTGGTTGTGAGTGCACTGTAAGCGCGACAGTCAAATTCCACTATTTGATTATACTAGAGTAGCCCTAGTGTTGTCGGTAGGTGTTGGTGACTAGCTACATTCTCTCTAGCTTATCAGTTCAAAACTAAGAACTGCTATGTATATAATTCTTGTATGGCTTTGCGAGAAATTCTGAAATAAATAAATAAAACTTTCGTAATCCATTATTTTATGCCCCTCAGTGGCACAGTGGTATGTCTGTGGACTTATACCAGTAGAAAACAGGTTTCGATACCCGTGGTGGGCAGAGCACAGATAGCCCTTTGTGTAACTTTGTTTCTCCACCAGCTCGAGAAGGACAAGGAAGCATGCGCTTTTCGAATGTTCTTGTGATAAAAACTTTCTACAACGAAATCGGCACTCTGAATTTAAGTCGGAAAGTGATCACAAAACAATTCGTGTTGTTAAGATTCTCCAAGGAAGTTGCTCTTATAAACTCCTTACCCTCAACCCATGCACCAAGTATATGACTATGATTACATTCCTTTCTTGCAGGTTTAAACTAAATAGCTGTTATAACACAGTATTGAGAACAACGTCTTTTATTTAGGGGAAGTACAAAAAAAGTCCAAGGTAATATTTTCTACTTTCCAAAAGCTTTTTTGTTTGTTTGTGAGAAAAGGGGTCAAGCATGGCCTAATAGTTAGCATACCTGCTGCCGCAAAAACACGCCCTACACTTTAGGACCGTAATAAGAGTAACAGTCGAATCCCATTGTTCCATCAGATAATAGCTTCCCAATAGTTTGCAGTGGGTGCTGTTGACTAACTGCCTTTTCTCTTTTCTATCTACTTAAAATTAGGGACGGCTATGCGAAGTTAGCCCTCGAGTAGTTTTGCTCAAAAATGACGAAACAAAAAGAAGCCTCATGGGAAATTCAAACCAAGCTTATGATTGGAAGAGATCAGCCATCTTATGTATAGGTATCACTAATTATATTGTGTGTTAGATAAACACAAAGTCATTCATTCAACTTTAGTATGTTCAGGGAACGTTTTGTACGCATACTGGTGTTTTAATTTTGCCCGTTAATAGCTCGATAATCTGTAGTTAACCACACTTTCTGCAAAATATTTGAGTATAGCATTTATAACGTTTTTTAGGACTTTGGCTGAGAAACACAAATAACCAGTTTTTGTCAATCTAACTACTATTACCCCTTAGAATGTTCTTAAGACATAGTAACTTTGTGAACTGCTTATGACAAAGTATTCTAATTTCTAGGCGTGTATTTCTAGTTTCAACGGAAACCGTGGTAAATTTATTTTGTGAGGTAGTACTAGTTGGATTGGTTGTTTCTAAGCGCATAGCTACACGCTGGGCTATCTATGATCTGCTTACCACAGGTATTGAAACTTGTTTTTAGCCTCATAAGCTTGCAGACTTACCGTAGAGCCATCAGAGATCTTACAAAGTAAAGTTTCATTTTGCTAGTTTTTAAGCCTAAAGCTACACAAGGGGTTATCTTTGCTTTGCCCATAGCGGCTATCGAAACCTGATTTTTAGCGTTATAAGCCCTGAGACCTACCGCGGAGCCACCAGTAGTACTAGTCTAATTTTTAGACGTGAAAGTCGAGTACTTAGTATTCCATGAGTGAAATTTATATTTTCTGTAAAAAACAAAAGAAAAACGTTAAACAAAATATTGCAATAAATTTAAAGCATTTATAACAAAAACTTAAATGTTTCTGAAACAAACAGCTTTGTGGATTTATCCTAAGAGGTTAGTATGTCAAAATTAACCTAAAGAAAACAGCAGAAATCCAATGATGATTCCACAGTGTAATATAAATAATTGGAATCAACAGCAGTAAAATTAATTTAACATATAAATGTACAAGCAAAAGTACCCGTCCCCAGTGACAGAAAAAGTTTAAGTTAATCTATCAGTTTATATTATTTCATGAACATTTAAAAAGTTAATTATGTTACACTCTTGGTTTCACTCAGAGCCAAAGCTCTGAGCTACTTATAACGCCTACCAACGAAAAGTAATTGTTGAGCATTTCAGTCCATGCTAAGAACCACTGAACAATAACATATGGTAAAATTACATTTTTATTTTATACGTCACATTTCAAAATGTGAATGATAGTGTGCTTAATTCCTAACAATTTGGTGTAGAATATCCTGCAGGTGTAAAATATCCTTCTTTCGAAATAAAATTTGGCATAAACATTATTCATGCCTATTCTTTCGTCATTTCAAAAGTGAATGTTGAGCTTTGCCTGCCGGCGCAGCTTTTCAAACGGGAGATAAACGAACGCTCGGACAGACACAACAGAAATCACTTTGCTATTGACTATACTTTATGGAAAACTCACGAGAAAAAACTTTTATGTCCTACGTGATCATTGAATATATTTTGATTTTATCAGGTATGTTTTGTGCATCGGTTTTGAGATGATTATTGAGTTTATAAAGCCAGAGTGCTAATAGTTTACGTTTACTAACAGTTTAATTGTATCTCTTCAAGTTTCCCAGGTTGTTTCAGGTGTAATAATATTGTAGTCAGAATTCTAAAGGTCTAACCTTAAATTATCAGAAGAAGATTTGTGCTGATTTGTTTTATATTTAATTAGAAAAAGTTATAACCCAGTGTGTAAAAAAATAACATGATTTAGCTAATGTAGAATAATTTCATTTTGAATCCTATAAAATCTGATGTTAATTTAACTCTTCAAATTTCTCAATAATTATTATATTTCTATATATGTTCTGCAGTTTCAAAATTAGAAATTATTTTTGAATGAAGAGTGAACAGAAGCGAAAGAATGTTAATGATTCTAAAGCACTGATTCCTAGATTACAAAGTGCATTTTACGAGTTCATTGTTTTCTCACAAGTACTGAATTATTTTATAGGTTTTGGATTGGAGGCAGTGTTTCTCCTGGTAGTCGGCTACACCCGAAATACAACAGTTGTTCTTATAGCCCTTACTTTAGCTGTTGGCTTCAGTGGATTTGCTATTTCCGGTAGGCTAAGGAGTTAAGTTTATTAAAACGAAATTTATTTATGATTAATTAGGCTACAATTTTGGAAGCTTAACAATAAAATATAGAATTTTCTGGTGCTTTAATTTATTTTGGAACCATTTAGTAGGTAGGGATTTTAAGATTCTAAGGAAGAAAAATGCATAAGATTGTACATGTTATATAATGATCAAGTGCTTGATTGCTATGGTGTAATATCTATGATAATACCAAAATCCCACCTTTCTTACACAGTTTAAAAGTAGTGAAGCGACCCTAAATGCCGCTTTTTCACTTAGATCTTTAATAAATTCACGAAACCAAGAATCTCGTTACTTCTAGAACGAACTGAGACTCAGATGAAATCAGAGAATAATGTCGACGCGCATTTCCTAAGATTCGAAACAATTTATTCTATTTTTTTGGTATCTGTTCTGTTTGTAATGGACTAAAACAACTCCACGATACAATCAGGCTGTAACAACAATTGGAATAAAATTTAGCACTTACCAAAAACACAGTTAATAAACACGCGCCTAGCCAGGACTTGATAATAATGTTAATGAACAATAAAACATAAATATTAACATTAACTATTTCAAATAATGCAATCAGGAAAAAGAACCAGAAGAAGAAAAACCCTAATCCCTCCCTCCAAAAAGCAATAACACAATATTCCAAAATCACTTTTCTATATTAATAACAATATCGAGTGACAAACAACAATAATTCACCAACTTTATCGTTCACTAACTGTCTTGTGACTCTTGTCTATGAAGCTTATGGCAGGGTATTTATTCACTCTGTTAGGTCACGAGAGTACATCTCATGTGATCATAAATTTACATAATTTTTTGCAACATGATTAACAAGAGTACATCTCATGTGATCATAAATTTACATAATCTTTTGCAACATTTTTAATATCTGTATACCACAGGGGATATCCGTTATACTTAACGATATTAGAAATCAAAGGAAGATGGATTAACTTGGGGAACCAGGACTATACAGAAAGATATCCACAATAAGTCGCACCTCAGATGTGGTAAGCAAAATGCAGCGTTTTTATCACGAAAACAAAGGCCAATGACAAGTCCATGTGCCCCACAAGAGACAGATGGTGCGTGTACACAAGTTGTCTCTCCACATACCTTAAGCAGCTAGATAACGAAACGAGTATCATACTATTCCATACGAAGACATACCTGACACAGTGCTTATGGATTTCTGTGTGATTGGACTGTTGACAGGGGTGCTGTAAAGTAGTCGTCCTCGTATACTAGATGGGAAATGGAAAACGTGCAGGAACGTGTGGCGTGATTTGGACATGTAATCTTTATAACGGTATTTTTTGCAATGTAAACTACGCTGCATGTTATTGTAAAGATGCGCGGCGTCAAATAGAGCACGACCGGACGTGGCGAGACAGATTGTGACGACGGGAAGAAGCTCCAAAATAGTTGTAATATAACGTATTCAATCTCTGTAGTTATATGCAAAGACAACCGAAAGGTTCCAAGTACGTCCTTATAAGTATATAGTCTTATCTTAAGTTATTAATGTTTCATTATGAGTGACTTTATTCGTTAGAAAACGTGTCTTCTAAGTTGTATTTTTCGCTTTTACAGGTTTCAATGTAAATCATCTCGACATTGCTCCTCGGTACGCTAGTATCTTGATGGGAATGTCCAACGGTTTTGGAACACTCTCTGGAATGATCTGTCCTATAATTGTGGAAACTCTGACCAAACATTCTGTAAGTTAAATGAAATAAAGTGAGTGCTTAGTTTCAATTCTTAATCTTATCAGTTACACGTAAGACGTAGGAAGCCTTTTATTAATAGAGGGCTTAGTGCGATAGGCTGTTCTATAAGTCTAAAATCTTACCAGAAGTTTGCATGCGGTTCAGCAATTATGCCCCCCCCCCCATTTATAAGTTTGGCATGATGAACATAAATTCTTGAAATCATACTATTTCTTTACGTGATTATTTTTTTTTCGCGTCGCAAAATATTGTCAGACAGTTACTGTGATTACCTATTTAGCAGTTTAAAACTTATTAATGATAGCCGTCCTAAAGTCGAGTCCCAGTGGCACAGCTTACAACGCTAAAAATTGGGTTTCGATACTCGTGGTGGGCAGAGCACAGATAGCCAATTGTGTAGCTTTGTGCTTAATTCCAGGCAAACAAACCTAAAGTCGAAAACTATTGTTTAATAAACAAGTAAATGTTACAACGATTATGATGAAAGAAACTTCTAAGAATACGTATTGCTCTAACAGACAGAAAAAAAAACACAAAAAATAAAAACGCGTTGTTTAAAATGTGGGAAAGAAATGTTCAAAATTCCACTTTTCTAAACACGTTATCAAGCTCAGAAACAGGCAAGAAATTTAGAAATCTTTTGTTTTTCGACCATTCCTCCGTTGTTTAGAAATATAACGGTGCCTTTACGAAATGCTTTTATTTTGATGGAACTCTTCAAAACAGGTTATCAGGAACAGGAAAGCTGACAAATATAAAACAGCACGTTGAATTTACAGAAAATAAAACAGACCACAGGTGTTGAAAACCAGATATTTCAAGTAATGTAAACCAGTGAACGCCCAGCTTTGTGTACTTTTACTACTAGGCTCTCTCTCTTTCAAAAAGTTCAGTTGTGAATATTAAAAGAACGTATTCAACCATAGCTTTTCTCTTTTGGTTATATTGAGTTAAGCGTGTATAAAACAATACATTCTCACACGCTAAAAAAAAAAAAGGAATTTTTATATGAGTATTTTTCACAATGTGGATTTTGATTTTATCAGGTATGTTTTGTGCATCGGTTTTGAGATGATTATTGAGTTTATAAAGCCCGAGTTTAATTGTATCTCTTCAACCTTCCCACGTTGTTTCAGGTGTAATGATATTGTAGTCAGAATTTTACGACCCGGCATGTCCAGGTGGTTAAGGCACTCGACTCGCAATCTGAGGGTCGCGGGTTCGAATCCCCGTCTCACCAAACATGCTCTCCCGTTTAGCCGTGGGGGCGTTATAATGTGAC